AAGCAGGGGGGAAATGGTCAGGGTGAGGGGAGGGAAGGGAGGGAGAGAGGAGGGGGGAAATGGTCAGGGTGAGGGGAGGGAAGGGAGGGAGCGAGGAGGAGGAAGAGAGTCGAGAGCTGAAGGCACGGTCAAAGAGAAAGGTTTTGAGACCGGCCTTGAAGGAGGAAAGGGAGGAAGCAAGGCGAAGGCACTGGGGGATGGAGTTCCAGAGCCTGGGGCTGAGAGGCTGAAGGCCCGACCACCGATAGTAGGGCGGTTGGGGCGGGGGATGTGGAGCAGACCGGAGCCAGAGGAACGGAGGGTACGGGCAGGTAGGTAGGGGGATAGTAGGTTGGAGAGGTAGGAGGGAGCAAGGCCGTGAATGGCCTTGTAGGTGAGGATGAGGATCTTGAAGGGAAAGGGAAGCAAAGGATTGCTCTTAAAAGAGGTGCACAGAAACAATGGGCTGAATGGCCTTTTTCTGTGCTGTAAATTTCTATGGTTCTATGTGTGCAACTGACCTCCAATTAAAGGAATAGAGAAAACCGAAACACTGAGAAAGTGGCTATGACGTTGTGTTGAGAGCAGCTCCGAGACACCTGCCTAGTCCTGGGGGCCCTGAGTGGCCAAATTTCCAATCTAAGAATCCGCCAATAAAACTATGAAAACTGTCGATTTCCATTCCTGGTGATTAACCGGGGATTAAACCTCCATCGAGCTGGAAATGGCTGGCCATGAAATAGTTAATGCTCCAATTCTACTCGTGCTTTTGCTCGAGCACACGAAGGCACTCGCCGTCGCATACCAATGTGGCTCTCATCGGAGAAACAGACCTGCAACACAAGCGCTCCAGTTCCACTCGATCCCCTCGGTGATTGAGTGAGTGTCTGGTTCCTGCAGCCCCTGGGAGACAGGTGGCTGCTCTCCTCGCTGGTGCATCTGAGCCCCACTCCCAGGGTCTCCACAACCACAAAGGGCAAGCAAGGCTCACAGCAGTGCTGACCAGACCCACACACTCACTCCCCTTGACGACCATCACTGCTTTTGTGCTGGAAATGTAACCCACTAAATGTCACTGGACGGAAAAATGTTTGGGATGGACAACGGTGCTTCTTCCCCAAATAAAACAGTGTTGACATGACTAATGATGTCAAAAATGTTACCCTCATAACACCAAGGGCACTTCATCCCCTATATCTTGAACTGCAACTTGGTAAGACTTGCTGTAAACTCTGGAACTGTAGAGACTGAAAGATAGAGAATTACAGGAAAACTGGGTCAGACAGAGCAAAGCTACAGATCGCACTGAACGAAACAGAAAGTGTGTTTGGCAGAGAAGTGTAAGCATGTTCCTCGGCCTGTGAGGTTCTGTGCTGAGAGAGGAGGAGACTTGCCCCTGGGATGGTGTTGATCACTCTCTGTATGGACCTCCCCCAGGTCCCAGCAACAGCACAGTTGACAATATTCCTCTCCTCTCTGGCTCCTCCAGGCAACATTTGCAGCTCAAAATGTGCCCGAGATCAGAAAGTCAGTGGAATGACAACAAGCTCACTCCCACCCTCGCTCGTCTCCACGGGCTTCCCATCCCCCAGAGGATCGAATTCAAGATCCTCATCCTCACCTCATCCTCACCTACACCATTCACGGCCTTGCTCCCTCCAACCTCTCCGACCTACTATCCCCCTACTTACCTGCCCATACCCTCCATTCCTCTGGCTCTGGTCTGCTCCACATCCCCCGCCCCAACCGCCCTACTATCGGTGGCCGGGCCTTCAGCCTCTCAGCCCCGAGGCTCTGGAACTCCATCCCCCAGTGCCTTCGCCGCTTCCTCCCTTTCCTCCTTCAAGGCCGGTCTCAAGACCATTCTCTTCGACCGTGCCTTCAGCTCCCCTCTCGACTCTCTACCCCCTCCTCGCTCCCTCCCTTCCCTCCCCTCACCCTGACCATTTCCCCCACTGCTCGGGTCCTGACCCAACTGTACAGCGCCTTGGGACGTCCTCCCGACGTGAAAGGCGCTCAATAAATGGAATAAATGGAATGGAATAAATGGAATGGAATGGATGAGGGCCAACTTTATCCAACTCAACGTCAGCAAGACTGAGGCCCTCCTGATTGGCTCACGCCAGCGCCTCCGCACCTCGGGCACCGGCAGCATCAGCCTCCACGGTGAAATGAGCAATAGAAGCGACCGAGAGAGCAGCTTGCATATCATACCTGAGGTGCCTTTTGCAAGGAAAGTCGGTGAAGAAAGGAGTTGGAATTGAGCCACTGTTACTAAATGAGCATTAGAGTGGGATCTAATGGCTTCTAATAGACTATTTCCCATCACCTCAGAGGAAAGATTGTGCACGATGGAGCTAGTTAATCGCAAAATGGAACGGTTTTGTGAAAGCTATCGAGCAGCTGGAGAAATACAGAATCAATACTGTGCTGCACCAGGGACCCCCACTTCCATTTGTTTTTTAAATAGCAATAATACTATAATACTTCACCCACAAAATATACAGCTAATTCTCTACAATATACCCTATGAGGCACTTTGAGACATCCCAAGGACTTATTAAATGCAAGGATTACTATTGTAATCTCCAAATACATACGTATACTGTATAGCCACAGCAATTCAGTATTCTTGGAATAAAATGGAAAAGAGTTAATCTCAATCTACACAGATCTCTCCCCTATATAAATAGTCGTCATTGAGAGCTACAGAATGTTGAAGAGACGTTGTATCAGGATATACGTCAGCCATGAAAGGAACTCTGCTTTACACATGGGAGGTTATCGAATTACTGTATCATCAAAAAGCTTCAGATTGTCGTTTACTCTTCATATAACATCTTGCGAGCGCAATCCGTAGTTCATGAAACGTGCGCAGCAATGCATTCAGATATTCGACAATCCAACAGTCTCCTTGTTCAAAGAAATAGGCCCCAAATTCCTCATAGCCTTAAAAATTTAAGATGAAAATATTAATTTGAAGCCTTAAATTGGAAGCTGGTTTTCTGAGGTTGTTAAAAAAAGGATTCTAATTCGACACTAAATTAAAGAACATTATCAAATTCTGTACCATTTAAAATTCTTAAATAAGGGTCTTGACCAGGACCACCTTCTTCCACCTCTGCCACATTGTCCACCTCTGACCGTACCTTATCCCAAATGCAGCCGAAACCCTCGTGCATGAGTTTGTCACCTCCCGCTTGGATTACTCAAACACACTCCTCACCGGTCTCCCCAGCTCCACTATTCACAAGATCAGCTCATTCAGAACTCTGCCGCCCGCATACTGACCCCGACCAAACTCCGTACCCACATCTCACCAGTTCTGGTCCAAGCTCCACTGGCTCCCCATCACCGAACAGATCGACTTCAAGATCCTCACACTTGTGTTCAGATCCATTCACTCTCTGGCACCTCCCTACCTCTCCAACCTCCTCACTCCCCACTCCACCACCCGGCGCCTCCACTCGACTGGCACCAGCCTCCTGCTCGTACTTCGCAGCCCACCATCGGAGGTCACGCTTTCAGCCACTGCGAACCCAAAACTCTGGAACACTCTCCCTCAGTCCCTCCGCCATGCCACCTCTCCTCTTTTCAAGTCTCACCTGAAAACTTTCCTCTTCGACCGGTCCGTGCCTCTTCCCCTTCCCCCCCCCGAACTCGGAGTCAGGCTCCACCACTCTGAGACTCTGTCCTGCAAGGAGGGCGCTATATAAGTGCAAGTTGTTGTCGTTGCCTTAAATTAGAGTCCTGGTTTCCCGAAGTGTATTGGTAAGAGCACTCACCTTGCAAACGAGAGGAACCGGATTCAAATCCTGGACTGAAGAAAACCTAAGGCAAGTTTCCTTACCAAGCCTCTGTTTACCTCGCAGTAAGTAGGAACCTGGTTGTTAGTCGATTAGCGGATCACTACATGATAACGTGCTAAGTTAACCGTGAGGATTATTATTATTTTTAATGCATGAAATACTTCAGACCTCTGCTTGCAAAAGATATTCTCTTCAATTTCAGTCAGGCAGTCAGTAATACCCCTTCCCATTTGATACATCACCTTATCATGTCGTCGAGATGTCTCTATGAGTGCTTCACAGGATTTATGGCAAAGTAGTGTGACTGCATGTGTTTTGTGGGTGAACAAACGCAGATACAGTCAAATCACAACCTCTGAAATGATAGAGCAATGAAGGTTTCTCTCCCCCGCACGTGGGTCAGTGCATAAACGTGATTATATTTAACTGGAACGTTAATTGCAACTGAATAATTCCAGAACCACAAAACAGCAGAAATGATCTTTTATTGTCTTGGAGATCAAGGGCTCCACCAAAAAAACAACAAACACTGCAAATTGAAATTACATTTCCTTTTGATAGAAAAAAGGCCTGTGCTAGCTGGAATTCCTGGCTTGCAAGACAGAAATTCAAGCCTACCATGCATCCTTACACAGCAATGTTTAGGCTAAGAAATCAGTCACTTTCTGACTACACGAGACAGTTCAAGCCTGGCTCCACTTCTCTACTTACTCTGATTACAGATAGTCTCAATTGTGGCTCTTCATATCAAACTTGCACATAAAGAGCTCATTTTTAAACCCCCAAAGCCGGGCGCTCACTCGCTGTGCTACCGCCAAGTTTGTTCAGACTGATTGCAGGGAATCTATAATAATCAATAAATAATAATCCTGGCATTCGATACAGCACTTTTCAGGCCTTCGAGACGTCTCAAAGCGCTTCACAGAATACTGTAAAGTGAATTGACTGTACATTTTGTGGGTGAAACTCGGCAGCCGATTGTGCACCGCAGCGTCCCCACAAACCGTCGTGGATTGAGTGACCAAATTCTTACTTTGTTTGAGGTATTATTATCCCCAGAAAAGCGATCCGCCAATCGACTAACAACCGGATTCCTGCTTACTGCGAGGTAAATAGAGGCGAGTGGAGTAAGGAAACTTGTCCAACATTTCGCTCTGCCCGGGAATACAACCCAAGGTCTCTCACTCGCAAGGCAAGTATTCTACCCACTGAGCTACAGGACTCCGTGACATGAGCTCAGACGAATGTAACAAGAACAGGAAATGGGGACAAAGACATACAGCCTGTACAGACCAGGGTAAAAGACACCGAGATTTGAATGCAGCAGAAAAACAATGTAAAATCAATGTTAGAGACAGATTCTGTTTTCTCAGGCACTTGAAAAGATGTTCGCGATTCCTGGAATACATTGTGCTTTTCGGCTGAAGGGAATGCGGGTAACGTTTCAGGTACAGAAACCGGCCCGTGCCCTCCGAAACGTTCTTCTGTTGCTGCATTTTCAGTCCGAATTCACAGGCAGATTATGCTACAGGCCTAGCGGAGGTTCCATCTGAGGTGGTTGACATGGTTCTTTCCTGAGAGCAGAATGACCCCATTAACTTTCTTCTGTCAGCCAAGCAGTGTACATTTTCCAGCAAATACCCAGTCCTTTTTTTAATTGGTCATCCCCTGCCCATTGGCTTGGCGGGAATGTGAGTATTCCAGGCATGTTTCATTCATGTTTCAAAATAGTTTCCAAAGTTATGAGTTATGATCTGGGATCCCCTTCCCTCTATTGAGACCGTCCAACTCCGACTCGGGAATGTTGCTCATGTGGAGTGCTCATTCTCTGTCGATATGTACGGTTCCCATGGCTAAGAAATAGGGATTGTCATGTATAATGCATAAGAAGCACTTTGTGGTTAGTAGGAGCAATAGTCGTGAGTATGAGACTGGTACAAACATAACCCCTCACAAATTCGCTGCATCAAGGCTCCCCCTTCCCCAATCCTAAGACTCAACCTTTGTCTTAAAACATAGAGTGGTGCAAAATTGTCAAAAGTTCCTAAATTCGTGTTTGGCTTGGAAGCTGGTTCTTTTCAAGAACTGCATTGAACAGGCTCAGCAATTTCATGGACAGTCAGGTTAAATGCCCTGATATTCAACCCTCTCTCTCTTTGCCTCTGTCCTTGATTTCAGGATCACTGCTGTTCTGACCCATTTCGGACATCAAGTCCTGGATGAGAGCTAACTTTCTCCAGACGAATGTTGACAAGACAACGGTCCTCCTGTTTGGTTCCTGGCAGCACCTCCACACCTCAGGTACTGAAAGCATCAACCTGCATGGATGGATTCTTCTCCTCACTGGTAAGTACAGAGCCTTGGTATCTCGTTCGACTTTCAACTGCCCTTTGAACCTCAAATCCATGCTCTGACCATTCAGCTTTCCCCTGCCTCTGTAACATTGTCCGCCTCCGCCATGACCTCTCCTCATGGGCTGATAAGACCATTAGCCGCGCAGTTATCATGTCCAGGATTGACCATGCCAACTCTCTGCTTGCCGAACTACCTGATTCTTCCTTCCACAAGCTGCAGACTATCCCGAACTCTCCAGCTTATGTCCTAGACTACGCAAGTCTATCACCCTCATACTGGGCCTGCTCCACTGGCTTCCCATCCGCCAGAGGATCAAGTTCAAGATCCTCGCCTCAACTCTCCATGACCCTCCATGGTCTTGCCCCACCCTACCTCTGTGACCTTCTTAAATCCTACCAAACCACCTGCTCCCTCAGCTCAGCAGGCACCAGACTCCTTCATGTCCCCCACCTTACCCACTCCACCATCGGCGGTTGGAATCTTCAGCCTTTCTGCCTCCGCTGTCTGGAACTCCATCCCAGAGTTCCCATGACTTGCCCCTTCCCTCACCTCCATCTCAAGACCTCTTCTTTGGCCATGGCTTTGGTCATCCCCCCTGCCACTCTCAGTTTGGTTTGGATACTCTTAAGCATGGTGATGGGTTTCCACATCTGTCAGACACCCAGTTGAACCACCCCACCCAACTCAGGTGCACACCTTGGGACATTGTCCTGACGTGAAGGCCAATGTATAAATGTAAATCTGTTGTTGTTGTTGTGTGGCCATTTGAGGGCATCACTGCTGAGCCTGACCTGCTTCCCAGTAGCGATCGCTGCACAGCAATTAGCAATTAGGAAATCCCACTGAATGTCCCTCCCTGACCTGGGAGCGCTAAGGCTAGTTATAGCTTCCCTACTGCTGCCCAATTCAACTAACAAACTGGGGAATGAGTATGGGATCTCATAGGTCTGTTGGGCTTAGTTCCACTCCAAGGTGTAGCTTTATCAGCTCAGCCATTGGGGAGTACACTACCGCACAAAAAGATCCAGCATTGTTACACCAGTTTGTAACACCAAGCTATAATTTGTGGGACTCACAGAAGATGAGCCAGGAGAGGACACTCATGACTTGGACCGTGGGGAGAAGCTAGAATTGCAAGCTCTGAATTGAAGAATTAATGTTGACAATTGTGTTTTGAATTTTAGATGGAGACTAAGCAGCTCTCCAGCTATAAATTAAAGCAGATAGGCATAAAGAGAATTTATGTCTCCTTTAGCAGTCCAATTCGGTAGTGGGCATTTCATATCGTGCTGGTTGGAGGAACTATTCAATCCTAGTCTATCGATGAGTTAAAGTTGTATCCCGGGGTCCCACTTCAGCTAAACTTTGATCGAATATTTTGCCTCCTGGTATAAAACACATTGGCTGATGTTTCGTTTTCAGCCCATGATTAGCATTCTGCCAATTGGTCAATCCTAACTGATTTCAATGAATTGTACCAAACCTGGGGAGGACAAGTTTGCAGGGCAATGGGGAGAGCGCGGGGGAGTGGGATTGATTTGGAAAGCTCTTTTAAAAGAGCCAACGCAGACACAATGGACCGAATAGCCTCCTTCTGTGCTGTATAAATCTATAGAGGAGAATTAGTTATCTTACTGAGGGCAATGGACCCTGATTGTATTCACTATTGATTATCGTTGATTAATGGGTGGAACTGGGAACAGTGGCAATGTCTCACCTGGTCCAGATATTCATGGAAGACTTGTAATATGGTTTAAAATAAAAACTTAACACTAGTAGATATGTCTAGTCTTTATTAACTTGGCAATTAACATTATATTAGTTTAAAAAAATCTATACTCTGCTCTACATGTGGTATGCTCTCTCAGGAAACCACTACGTCACTGTGAAATATGTTTCATGTATATTTAATACACAAAATGTTCCTATTTTTCTAATTGAAGCTTCTTTAGCATTTGACTAACTGTATAAACTATTTATGAGATCCTGGGATCGGTTAATACAGCTCTACTCTGGTATTTTCCGATCCTGGGGATTCACAAAGCAGGAATTTAAAATTCAGTTCTGATTAAGACTAAATTAGTTAATTTAAGTTGACTGGAGACTGGTTGTAGATGAAGAAAGGAGGAAATTATTTCCTCGGTTTTATGTGAAGCTCAAGTTGAGGGATGTCCACTCTTGCCACCTCGTGCCAGCACAGAGCACTTTTGGGCAAGGTATAGTGCAACCAACTAACATACCTTTTGTTTGTCCTAATAACGTACAGTGATGTAAACCAAGAACGGACCATTGCTGCATTGTTGTGAGCCTTTCCACCTCCCATATAGGAGATGCTTATCACCTCTCTGATACACACAGATTTTATTCTATGAACTGGGAACTGGACCGAGATTACATTAACTCCTTTCATCCAAGATGAAAGGACAGTGCAACATTTCTGCTCTCGGTCCCTTGTTTCCATCCTGAACTGTACACACAAGCTGAAGAGTTGACAGGACAGTGCTCTGGAACGATGCACAAGTTCAATGCCTCATTCCAAATCCTCCTTGGACACCGAGGTGGTGCCAGAGGACTGGAGAGTTACAAATGTTACTCCCCTGTACAAAAAGGGGCAGAAGGATAAACCCGGGAGCTACAGGCCAGTCCTAACGTCAGTAGTGGGGAAACTTCTAGTGGGGAGACTATAATCCGGGACAAAATAAATTTTCATTTAGAAAAAAGGACAGCCAACTCAGATTTGTTAAAGGCAAATCGTGTCTAACAAACCTGATAAGAGTTTTTTGATGAAGTAACGGAGAGGGTGGATGAAGGTAGTGCAGTTGATGCAGTTTATATGGATTTTCAAAAGGTGTTTGATAAAGTGCCACATGAGAGCAAAATAGAACCCCACGGTATTAAAGGGACAGTGGCAGCGGATACACAACTGGATGGGAGACAGAGAGCAGAGAATAGTGGTGAACGGTTGTTTTTCTGACTGGGCACTACAATTTAGGAAGGTTGTCAAGGCATTGGAAGAGGGTGCAAAGGAGATTGACCAGGATGGTACCAGGAATGAGGAACTTCAGTTATCAGGAGAGGCGAGAGACGCCGGGATTATTCTCCTTGGAGCAGAGAAGGTTAAGAAGAGACTTTCTAGACATTTTCAAAATGATAAGGGGATTCGATAGGGTGATCAAGGAGAAACTATTCCCACTGGCGGGTGGGTCGGTAACCCGAGGACACTGATTTAAAATGGTTGTTAAAAGAAACAGAGGGGAGGGGAGGAGAAATGTTTTCACACAGCGAGATGTTCAGATCTGGAATGCATTGCCTGAAAGGCCGGTGGAAACTGTTTCGATAAGAACGTTTAAGAGAGAAGTAGATAGATTATTTGGGAAGGACAAGTTTGCAGGGCTATGGGGAGAGAGCGGGGGAGTGGGATCGAATTGGTAGCTCTTTTCAAAAAGCCGGCACAGACACGATGACCTCCTTCTGTGCTACATAATTGTATGATTCTATGATGTCGTGGAGCAACCTTCAATGAACTGGACTTTCACTGCAAATTTTCTGAAATCAGCCAAAATGTACATTTCAGCGTCAGTGATGTTTGGCCGGGCTTTTTATTTTCAGAGCGGACTTGTGAAATTCCTTGCCGTCCAGTTTAAACCTGAACACAGTGAAAGTTTACCTCCCAGCAGCGAAGAAATCGGGACATTCCATGTTAGTGGTAAAGTGGTCCGTTCTAATGAGTGCTTGGCTGTCGAATCTCAGCAATCCGAATGAGCCTTGGTACCAGGCACTGCTATCATCCCTGAGCAACCTCGTTTAGAGAATCACACTCAATAGCTCCCTGACTTTAGATTTGGTTCTTGCCCTTTCATCATTAATGCCTAGATGGACCTTGATCTTTTCTCGTCCAGCAATCCAATGTTCCTATATCTTCCTCCAGGTAAAGCTGTGCCTGTGAAAATGTTTCCTCTGCAGCCATGACTAATCCTTTCACCAGCACTAATTCAGCAGCACTAATCCAGCTTCCAGCTTCAGCTCCCACCCCCCCTCATCCTTGGCCCACTGCCTTTTAACAATCAGTCTTTTGTGCTTTTGTGCTGTAAAAGGAATACTTAGAGCATGAGCTACACTGGGCTTGCACACATTACCTCACATCTATCTCACAAGGTACCTCTGAGACCAGTTTATTTCTTTGCTCTCCGACATCGGTTGTGTAACGTCACAACTGTTACATTTTAACCTTGGGCCATTGATACTCACTAAACTTCTTAACAATTCGGTCCCTTGATTCTAATTAGACAGAGAGGGAAAGAGATCCCAATATTAGCGAAAGGATGGTCTTTCACCACACTGAAGCGCAGGCTTATTCTCTTGCTGTTGCCAATTCATTTCTTATATTCTCAAGATCATAATCGTAAGGTATCAGCAGTATTGTCTGTGCTCCAGATATACTGAACCATGACTTCTTGATCCAAACAGAACTCCGAAAATAACAGCCTAAGGGTTTGATACACTTGGCAATCTGTCCTTTCTGAACATGGGGGCTGGGAGGCATGATCCCTTGGTTAACAGGCATTGTATAGTGTCTCAATTTAACCCTCACAGGATTACAGACCAGAAACCATTGGATTTGTTCCATTCCCCCCCCTCCCTCCCTCCCACCAGCCCTCCTTTTTCAGATCATAGCATTACACCACAGTGCTAATTGTGGACGAGGCCTCAGACTTACTCTGCTTGCTGGGCAGCGACTTCAAATACTCCAGGTGCCTCCTGGCATCTTCCTGATTCTGCCTGACATAGTACACTAAGTAGGATATCACCATGGTGAACCACCCAAACATGGTGACCAGCATAGCTACGTCAGTTGTCTTCTTGTGGATGTTACAGAAGTTCACTTTGTGCGCAGCCTCCAGAAAAGGTTTCCCCACAAACTCCTCCTGGGCAGCGGAGGCACAGATAATGTCGTTGGAGGCCACGGTTTTTACAGAAAGTTCCTTGATCATGTTCTGCAGCGTGCAGTCACACAACCAAGGGTTGTTGGAAAGTGTTATATCTGCTTTCAGTTTGTTGAAGACTTCGCCCTTCACAGTTTGTAGTTTATTGTTCGACAGGCTCAGAACGGTCAAGCTTTCGTTCAAGCCCCGAAAAGCATGCGTTTCCAACTTGTGGATGAGATTATTGGAGAGATTGAGTTCCACCAGGTGGTGCAGGTCTTTGAAGGCGTCGTTCGGAACAGAAGTAATTTCGTTGTAATCGAGGAAGAGGACCCTGGTGTTGTTCGGGATGTCTTTGGGGACCTCTTTCAATTTCATCCTGCTGCACCGGATGATGTGCTTATCCGGGTCTTGACAGTAGCAGCTTTCGAGTTTGGGACATGTGGTGGCCGAGTTAAAGCAAAAGGTTATCAGCACCAAGCTCTGGAGCAGCAGCCACATGGCAACCGAGTGGCGCCACAGCAGGTTCCTCAGCTGCATTCTGAGATACTGGCATACTCCTGAGGAAACTTCCAATCCACAGCCACAGCCTCTGCTGCTGTCCCGGGAGCTTCAGGGCAATCTTAAGAGAGTAGAGCAGAACGTGACATTAAATTAATACTTGCATTTTCACATGGTGCCCTGCCTGCAATGTTTCAAATACTTGTGGAGTCCTGTAGCTCAGTGGTTAGAGCACTCGCTTTGCAAGTGAGAGCCTGAGTTCAATCCCAGGCAGAGGGCGAAACCTTGGGCAAGTTTCCTTACTCCACACAGAGCCTAATAATAATCCCTCCAAAACCCAAAACAATAATAAATTGGTCATTTTCAATCCACGACTGTTTGTGGGACATTGCTGTGCGCAATTGGCTGCCGCGTTCGCCCACAAATATACAGTCAATTCACTTTACAGTATATTCTGTGAAGCGCTTTGGGACGTCCTCCCGACGTGAAAAGCGCTATATCAAATGCAAGGATTATTATTATTATTATTATTATTACCTCCCTCTTGGTGACTTCACCCCCAGTCACCCGACTCTATCTCTCCGCCTCCACCCTTGACCCCAGGACCACTGCTGTCCTGACGGAATGTCTGTCAGACATCAAGTCCTGGATGAGAGCTAACTTTCTGCAGTCGAACGTCAACAAGACCGAGGATCTCCTGATTGGCTCCCGTCAGCGCCTCCGCACCTCAGGCACTGGAATCATCACCATCCATGGATGCACACTCCACCTCACCGAGCCAGTCTGGAACCTTGGCGTCTTACTTGACGCTCAACTGTCCTTTCTCCCCCACGCCAATGCCATGATTCGTTCTAGCCTTCCCACACCTCCGCAACATCGCCCGGCTCTGCCACTACCTCACCCTTCAGGCTGCCGAAACTCTCATTCACACATCTGGGCTCGAATACGCCAACTACTTGGATATCGGCCTTCCCAACTCTTCCCTCCACAAGCTGCAGGTCATCCAAAACTCTGCAGCTTGTGTCCTCTTCCTCACCAGGCTCTGTGACCCCATTATCACCACCCTTGCCCGAGTCCATTGGCTCCCCATCCCTCAAAATCCTCATCCTCACCTTCAAGGCCCTCCATGGCCTTGTCCCTTCCTATCTCTGTCACCTGCTAAACCCTTATCAACCTGTCCACTCCCTCCGCTCAGCAGCCTCCAGCTTGCTCTACGTCTCCCGCCTGGCCCGCTCCCCATCGGCGGTAAGGCCTTCAGCCTCTCTGCCCCCAGCCTTTGAAACTCCATCCCACATTCCCTTCACCTCGCTCCCTCCTTTGCCTCCTCTTTGTCCGTGCCTTCGGCCACGCACCTACCCTCCCTGCCCTCCACCCTCCCTTATCCCAAACCCCCCCCTCCTCTCAGGTCCACATCCTTGACTGTCCAGCGCCTTAGGACGTCCTCCTATGTATTGTATTTCAAGTTATCTAAAAATAGCCTCCTTGGAAAGGAGTGAAAGTGGGGTCCGGTGTAACCAAGCGAGAGGGGGAAAGAAAGAGAAAGGTGGTTCTATGATGAAAAATGTTTCGGTTAGTACATTTTACGAAATCACCTGAACACAATATCTATGATGAAGTTGGTAAGAGTGGGGTAGTGGGACTAGTTGGTAGGTCTTTCAAAAATGCCGGCACAGGTTCGATGGGCCGAATGGCTTCCTTCTGTGCTGTAATATCTATTTGGAAGCCGGTTCTTTTTAATACGTGTTGAAAAGACGGCTTCCAAATTACAACTACGAGAGTATAACAATGTTTCACAATTGCATTTTAGATTTTAAATCTAAAGGCGAAGAAACTGGAAAATGTTGGGGTTCGGTGAGGATGGAATTGGGCTGAGCACACAGTAAACTCCTGATAACTCGTCACTCCAAGTGAAAAGGGTTCAGTGACTAGTTATTAGGAGCCCCGAGTTAGGCATATGTATAAATACATAGATACATAATTAGATACATAAATAGTTGTTATTGAATATGTCCATAAATAGTTGTTATCGAATTGAATGGGGAAGGGTGGTGGAAGCCGATTCAATGACGACTTTTAAGAGAGAAGCAGATAACTATTTAGGGAGGACAGGTTTGCAGGGTTATGGGGAGAGTGTGGGATTGATTTGGAAACTCTTTTATAGAACCGGCACTGACACGATGGTCCGAATGGCCTCCTTCTGCGCTGTACAATTCTATGAAGAGATACATACATACACACGCGCATGCACGCACGTACGGACACACGCACACACTGATAGTACGATGACTTAAGTGATACGTTAAGTTAAACTAGGTTCGAGTTATCAGGAGTTTACTGAGAGTTTCCCCCCCCCCACAATTGCTGTTGAGGTTCAGGTACCAGAAATCAGCAGCAGGTGTAGCAGTTCTTCCAGTATTGAATCGAGGCACAGCCTTGGATGAAGTGTGAGACACCAACTTCAGGAACACACAGAGAAAATTACTGATCAGGACCGGATTCATTAGTGAATGCGTTAGTACGATTGCGTTATATAATGGAAAATACGCAGTGGATTAAAAAAAAATTACATTGACTTGATTTTGTTTTACACTTGTTTACGGCAGTCACTACGCGAGATAATTAAATGCTGACATGAATTTTAAAACATGAAATAATTCAGCCTGCTCTGATAGACAGCAAACTCGGTTGAGAATGTCGGCCACTGTTTATCAGACGCCTGAATTTCAGCACAGCAGCTAAACCAACTCTTCCCCCCAACGACCTTCTAACACCCGCCATGAAAACTCAATTTGGAATCGTTTGATTCCATTTGCTACACTCTGAATCCATTTGTTGTCTAATGGCCTCTCGTCTAACTAACTAACTAACCTTAAAATACTTCATTGGATCTCATCTGACTTCATCTCATCAGTGAGATGGTTCTTTTGGTCATTGGCCAATGGGTTTATAGGTCTGAAATTTCCTCTTTTCTTCCTCCACACACACATACACCCCCCGCCAACCACACCAAGTTTCCACTCCATTTATGCTCACAATTGGGCAGTAATGAGTGTTTGCAGTCACTGCCTTTAGGGCCAGGTATTACCTCACTGGATGAAAATAAAAACCTCACAGTTTGATTTTAATATAAGCGACAGAGAAGCCGCTGAACGTAGAGAAGCCGGAGTCAAACTGTAAAAGATAACCTGGCTTTTAGAGAGCTATTTTTTTTTGTTGCTGCAAATTTAACAGCATTCCCTTTATTCTGAAAAAAAACTGATTTCATGAAACATATACAGTGTTATACAACAAGAACAGTGTTGGTCAGTGGAAACCATTTCGGGCAGAAGGCTGCCTGAAGGCAAAGAAACTGAACGTAAACAGTGGTAACCATTTCATGCCTGAAAGGGTGGTGGAAGCTGATTCGATAACAACTTTTAAGAGAGTAGATAATTGTTTGGGGAGGAGTTTGCAGGGCTGTGGGGAAGATCGCGGGGGAGTGGGATTGAATTGGAAGCTACTTTCAAAGAGCCAGCACAGACACGATGGGCCGGATGGCCTCCTTCTGTTCTGTATAACTATTATTCTAAGGCCAACAATCACCCAACCAAACAATCCATCTTCCTAAAGACCCCATATTTGTGTTCTTATCCTTCTTTAATGTGTATTTTGTGCCTATGTGCTAGTGAGAGCTTCAGTAGGCCTGTGCGCTATTGAAAGCTTGATGTTTGTACGCCATTGGAAAGCTCACACATGTGAGGTTACGCAGCATAAGACGCTTAGCGTTAAATGTGTTTAAGGTCCATAGACAGTATTTAATTTAAAGTAAATATCACTTCAGTGACATCAAGTCTGGATTTGGCACAAATGGAAACTATTTGAGGGGGAGAAAGGATTGCGGGGATCCAGGGACCAGAGCCACTGAGATACAAGATATTTTGGCTGGAAAAGTATCAGTAGATACTTTCTAAAAGAGGATGGGCTTAATGCCCTTAAAAGGAGCGAGCTCAAATGTCTCGTGGTCGCTATTCGTTTTGGGACGTCCTCCTGACGTGAAAGGTGCTTCGCAACTGTAATTTTGTTGTTGTTATTTGTCATCAAAGACGCTATACGTGCCTGACTTGAGGAGGAGTCCTCTAAATCAAGATAGTTTTTTCTGTTGTTTACTAACATGTTAAAAGGTTGCTAGCTGGAGAGTATAGTATGTTAGGGATGACTATTCAACAATCCCACCATTTTCAGATTTAGCAGACAGTTTAAGTAAGACATAGGGTTATGCCTGAAACACTAATAAAATACCATTGAGTTATCTTAATCGTGCTTCTCAAGTCTCTGTTTAAATCAGGAGGGAGGAATTTACATACACAGGTTGAGCCCACGTCACAGTCTGTTAGTGCAAAGGACTCTGTCAGAAGCTTCCCTTTGCTAGAAGCATAACCTAGAAGAACCTGTCATCATGTTGACTCTCGTCAGTGTGGTTACACTTTAGGAAAGGGAACTTGCACTCACAGAGAATGATCAAACACGGAGTTTACATTTAGGGTTTACATTAGGGCTGAGAACCATTGCAAGACACGCTCAATGCCTCTGTCCCATCGTCCACTAATCCTGAGTCATTTTACTCTTCGGGAAATCATCTAATTCCCTTTCAAAACCCTTCGCTGGTCAATTGTTCCTCTTTGTGATGAAATAAAGACTTGTTAGGCCAGCATTTCCCACTGGGTAACAGTGCCGGGCAGGGGCAGGTTGCAGGCCGGCTGTGTGCTGAGTTAGTTGAACTCAGTTAGGGCATTAGAATTGGTTCTGGTTAAGGAGGGGAAAGTCATACAGGATTCCTACTCCTGATCACTATTTAGTTTTAAGATGAACGATGGGTTAAGACAACGTTTTAAACTTTGGAATTTGCTATTTTTCTATATATATATACATACATACATTCAGTATATAAGAACATAACATAAGAAATGCTCGACGAAAACAGACCAAGGTCCATCTGGTTCGCCTTCCACCTTCCTGGCGGTCGCAAGCACATATATCCCAAACTACTTAGGTATTATATCCCATAATGTTATTTCCTAAAAGAAAACTAATCTGTTTAAAAGAATCAAGACTTCCTGCTTCAACCATCTCCTAAGGGAGCCT